AACTACAGAGGAGCAAGACTAGACCCCAAATAATTTTTTGCCATCCGGAGACGGAACTCTAAAGCTGCGTTTCTTGGGTCAATAAGAACACGTATTGGTTGACCTGAAACCAATTGGCTCCATAAACATACAAAGAATACACCGCAATCTCCCAAATGACTACTTTGTTGGGGAACGTTTTCTTCATAAATGAATTGCATATTCAATGGAATCCTTGGGATGTTCCTCCGCGCCAATACTTATCTTGTCCAAATAATTTGCCACCCGACGTTCAAATTTGGAAAAGATTCCTTCGGATTGTGAATTTTTCATAAGCACCTCTACCAAGACTGTCTAAATATGCACTTCCATTGACGCTAATCGTAGTTCCCAAATAGCCAATGATTAGGGGATGAATGAATCGGCAATAAGACCTGTATAAGGATCAGAAAAATAAAATTATGTTTATTTACATCACAATAAAAAACTCACAATACAAATACATAACAAAAAAAACGATATTATTTTCAATATAAACTATTAAGTTTACCGTATCAACATCCCACCAAGCAACCATGAAGTTCAGGTATGTAGCAATACCAGCCATAAACGCCTCCAGTCCTGTCCTTCTTCCAAAGCATGAGAAACAAAAAATTTGGAGGCATTATGTGTATGTCGTCGCTCTCTAACCGTCTCTCCATCAAAAGTCGGTACCAAATGGTTATATGCTGCACACATGATACTTTTGTTATTGACTAAAAAACAATTAACTTTTAAAAGAATTAATTAACAATTTATTTACCGCTGACTCCAAACCATCCGTCGTGTGTATGCCAAACAATGAGCTCCAAAAATCTCTATCTAACACGAAATTAAACAAACGATGCTGCACATCGTATGAATGCAATACATAATTTTGGATGACAAACTTTTTTGTGAAACATTGTATTTGATAACATCAGGTCATATGGTATTATTAAGAAATTAAACAACTAATATTGTAAAATATTGAAAGAAAAAGAGCATTTCCATACAATAAAGATTCATATATATTAATATTGATGTATATCATACATTACTATATATTACATATATCATATTTACATAAACAACCACTATGAAATAGATTTATACATAAATATAAACAACTTAAAAGAGTTGCCACAAACACAATACATAATTAATGCTCCAGTACTTATAGAACCATTCTTCATCCTTACAATAATGGTACATGACATTGTACACCTCCATCAACAGCTTCGGGAACCGACTCCCAAATAATCATTAAACCCCTCCGGTACACCTCCCAACAATTCCTGTGTCCAATAATCATCAAAAACAATCATTAACACAGTACAACCTGTCCTGTCAATAAAAAAAAAGTGATAACGTTCTGTATGTTGAGAAAATCGAACCTGAATTTCTTTGGGTAATTCGCGGTAATGATTTAATTTATTTCGAATGACGCGAAGCAAGTCACGCACACCGTTGTATTTATACCGCCTATACCGACCAATGTTATTGATGAATTCCGGTTCCATCTTTTCATCCCATTTTCCACCCAAAGCCACCGAACCTTTACTTTCCAATTCCCTAAGAAGAACGGAATCACATTCCCGGTCTTCCAATTCCACCCGATCACTAGTATCCCTTAGAAACGACATTCTCACCTCGGAATCCCAAAACAAAGGATGATGCAACACATCCACAGCCCTTGGCCTACAATGCAAATTCTTTATTAATTTAAAACGTCAGAGGACTGAAATTGTAATTTTATAACTTTACCTGAGTTCAGGGTTAGGGTTTAGTAATCTAGAGAAGAGGTCAAAAGCTTCCGGAATATGTCGAACTAAAAAAAGGTTGACTCGGTTTTTGACCACATTCACATCACGTTCAAGATGATCACCAAATGGGTGTCTGCCACATGTCATGCAGAAAAACAGGACACAACCTAAACTGAACAAATCTATCGCACGTGTTTGGCGTCCATGAAGAAGTTGTTCGGGTGCTTGCCACCCTGAACTTCCGGAACCTGACGAAAATAACCCGTAACAATTTACAACGTGTCAAAAACAGCCCGGTTTTTGTAATTAAGTTGGTTTTATCTTCTTACCAGTAGCATGGAGTCCTAATGACAACATGTCGCCAACGAGGCGTCTGCTAATTCCCATGTCAGAAAGCTTCCCACATATTGATTTTTCTTTGACTATTAACACATTGTGTGGCTTTAAATCCCGATGAATGATCCCTAATTCATGCAAATGAACAAGCCCAGATACTATATCCCTATAATAATAATAAACATCAAAGTAAAGATATAAATAAAGTAACACATGTAAATAAAGTACAATGTTGTTGTTATAAATGGTTGGATGTACATGTACCTCATCAATTTTAACAAAATAGGCGAAGGGTATCCATTTGGTTTCCATAAATGAACATCATGCATGATGATGTCACGATTGATTGAATCTAATTCTAAACCCCTTTCTTCATTTGAATTAAATCATAAAGGCTACAAGCACAACGCTCCAAAGAAAGATAAACAAAATCATGATCATATTCCACTCCATACCACCTAACAATATTTGGATGTTGATCAGAAGCAATAAGATTTTGAATTTCTTTAAATGCAACATCATGGTGGGCCCTCACGAGGCGTTTCACAGCAACCTTACGACCTTCGTATACCCCTTCAAGAACAACTGTTCCATTACTACCCTTTGCAATTTCTTTATTTGACACAAATAGTTTGCCTATAGAACGCCCTTCTGTGTCACATTCGATTAAATGATTAAAATTTAGCACTGGATTTCTTTCACTATCAACATTTCCATCTTCATTGGCATAAATCCTTCCTTGTTTCCTATGCCTCTTCCTTCTAGAAGAAGAGGAAGGTTTTTGTTTCAACATTGCAGCCATTATGGTATGATGGCGATACATAAGACCACCAATGGCAATAATCAGAATGAAAATTACAACAAACGCCATTCGCCCTTCGGAAAGAAAGTTGACTTTTTTCACATCTTGTTGACTAGGGATTTCGGGGTTTTGGGTGTCAAGGTTATTGTTTGAATTGGGTAGTAAAGGTTTATTTTGAGGGAGTAGAAGGATTGGAACTTTTTTTTCTGCTTGTTTTCCATGGATTTTATAAGAACCAAGCTTATGAGATGTACGTAGCCTATGGACAACAGCTTTTGACTGGCATGACAAGGGCATGTTGAAGTCAAAGTCAAAGTCAAAGTCAAAGTCAACACTGGATTTTGAGCGAAGATTATTTGGGAGAGGTAAAGACGGACGAATGATTTTATTTGGAGGTTCTTGACAAAGTAAAGCAACATCAATGTCTGCTACAGTCACATTCCATAGAACTTTGTCAGAATTTGCAGCAAATGATGTGAGTAAGTAATCTGTTCTTGTGAAGGAGAATTGTTTATCAGGTTTTTCATTGACCATAGTTGACTTTTCATTTTTCATGGTGGTTTTTTGGAAGATGAAATTTGAGTGTTCATTGGTTGATGAGCTGTGATGAACACGTATTAACCTTCCAGTGTTAGCATCAACTACAAATGCAGTAGTTTTTTTGGATCCAAGAATAACTCCTCCATCCTCTGATACGTGTGGCATGATTCTGATGAATTCCTCCATGGTCATATCCATACTCTGTAAGTTACAAATAGGTAGTTGAAATTGAATAATAAAGTACATTGTTGATATTGGTAGCAAGAGTAAAGTTTCAGAAATTTACCACTTTGCCAAGATCTGTGTGTGCATACAGCTTCCAATCATCCCCACAGTCTACATAATAACTGCCTTCAGGCACAGGTGCACTTTCCTTATCATCATCATGGCTGGTAGAAGCCTGGTATGAAGAGTAGATTGGAGATCCTGATGCAAATGACCAAATTATCCTCCCAGAATCACGATACACCAAATTGATTGTACCATCCAATGCAGCAACAAGGGCAGTGTCATGATTACTGTTTGGAGAGAGAGGTATGTAAGTGCATGAAAGAGAATTACTTCAAATGATACTACAAAAAAAGTACCCTAATATCATAAATTTGCAAAATTATGTTGAGTGCAGCACTCTGCTTATGTAAGATCATGTTTATCTTGGTTAATTGTGGTAAAATCCTGAACCTTAATTAAAAAAGCCTTTGCACTTGTTAGAATGAAGAGCAAACCCTGTGTAGAGTATGTGAGAGTAAGCAATTATAACATTCATAGTTACAAGTTTATTGCAAAGGAACCATTGTGAATTGCATAGAATTGCCCATTCCAACAAATAAGGGGAAATTGGAGTTATAATAAGTAATATGGGACCAAAATCGAGCCAAGCTGAAGTTGAGAACAAAATTCATGGTAATACTTCAGTTCAACCGAAAGAGCAAAATTTACAGAACCCAAACTACATGGCAGCAGCATGGATCGATATACAGATCTTCACCTTGATAAAGAGGGAAAACAGAATGGCAGCAGGCAGCCATGTGTACATGCATGAGAAGAAACTGTTCATCAACAACCTCAAATTAACGAGTAAAAAAGGAGAAAACTTACTCCGGAAAAGATAACAGAGACCGCCTAGCCGGTGCTTGATTGACTTTCGAGATTTCCAAGTTTTGAACGCTGTCAATCGATCCAAACAACAGCAAAAAGAGCAAGAAATCGGCAAATAAATAGCGGATCAAGGCGTAATTCATCGATTGCGATTGATTCTGATAGCAAACAGGGTTGGATTGATTGTGAATTGAACTCAATTTGCTACCAAATCATAATGATTTAGGGTAAAAATTCAACTTCGTAAGACGACTATGAAGGATATGCAGGGAACGAAGGATTGCCGGAGGAATATTCGAAGTTATATGATATAACAAGAAAAAAAATAAGTTTAATGATGTTTTTTGACCATTTGGAAAAGATTTTTACCCATCTAAGTCATTTCATTTTCCTATTAAGCATTTACTAATTGTACAATCAACCAACTAATTAAATCTATCATATCCATTTCAACAAAACCTAAGCAACAGAGATACTGGTTTTCTGTTAAACCATCACATTTGCAGATGTTTCAACATACAAAAATTTCACAAGAATTTAAACGTCGATTGCAATAATCACTTTTCCACAAGTTAAAACAAAAGACTATACAAAGATTGCAAGATATATGAAATCACAGGCTTCAAGTTTCACCTTTCAACACAGGAAAACCTTTAAACAACTTCAAACACGAAGATTTTATGCAGTTTTTCAAAGCAATTTTCAAATACTCAAATCCAGATATCATCTCAAGTACACTAGTCTACAAAAATCTAACATTCATTAATCAAGATTTCAAGATTCATCATCAATCCAACTCCTTTTCAACCTTAATCCCCATAGATTTAGCTGTACCTATAATTGATTTTGAAATCGCCTCCAAGGACATGTACTGACAATACGGATCTGCTTGCTTCACCTTTGCGATTTCATAGATGTGTTTTAGGGTTAGGGTTGATGCAACAACATGACCTGCACGTCCACTCCCGGAGTCAATTCCGGCGGCTTTTTTTAGAAACCAGGTGACTGAAGGAGAACGAACGCTCAATTCAAAAGTATTGTCTTTGAAAACAGTCACAGTAGCAGCGATTGGAGCTTCCGATTTGTATTTCTGTGTGCGAGCGTTGAAGTCCTTGCAGAACGCCATTAGGTTAACTTTGTACTGACCTACAGCCGGACCTACCGGTGGTCCAGGTCTTGCTCCGCCGGCTGGGATGGTGAGACGGACTGTCGCCGCCACTGGCCGACGCGTTAGAATTTCCTTCAGGGACGCCATTTAACTACAACCCGAACAAGAACATAAAAATTGGAACAGTAAAACGAAAAAACCTAAACGCTAAACTACGAGATGAAGAAATTAAAAGAGAAGGATAACAGAATGATGTATGTGCTTGTTGTGGAGTGTGAATGAGTCGAAAAGTCTGATTTTTAATAGCGACAAAATTGCAAAAATGGTCCCTGTGTTTGGCAAAATTATGCGACTTTGGTCCAAAACGATACTTTGATGCAGCACTGGTCCAAAATTGGATTTTTCCATTGCTTTTGGTCCCTCCTACTAACTTCCGTCCATATACTCCGTTACATGCAACAAAGACGGGGGTATTTTCGTCTTTCCACCTCCATATCATCGATTACCGCCATATTGAATGATATACACAGTTAATGACCCTTCACTCTACGCACTAAACCCACTTGTTGATCGAAAACCCTAATCGTTCATTGAAATCTTGCATTTGATCATCAACCGCAATCGTAAGTTTGAATCCACGAGTATGGTCCAAATGTGGGAAATCAGGCCAAGAAATCAGTGTTTTGATGCAATCCGAATTTACGGTAACGTACTCTGTTTCTTACATATTTCTTTGAAACAAAAAAAAAATCTTTTACAATCCATATAAAGTAATGTTTTTTTGGTTTGGTTCATGATTTTTACAGAAGGACATCCCACGATGTTCACTATTGAGCTCCATCATGGAGGGAGGTTCACAAAATTTCCAGGGATAAGCTATAATGAAGGAAAATTAGACCACATTGACTTGGTAGACATGGATGAGTTCTCTGTGCATGAGTTGGATGAGGTGATGCTGAAGCTTGGTTATGATGTACCACCAGTCATTTATTACCACTATCAATTGCCAAATGGAGATTTGGAGTTTGGTCTTAGAGCTCTAGGGAATGATATTGATGTACTTAGTCTTGCACAGTACATTGAACATCATAAGATCATCAAGGTATACACTGAACATAATGAAACTAAGTTACTTACATACTTTATGTCTCCAAGAGTTAAACCTAGGGTCATAATTGAGGAAATAGCAGATGATGTGCCCACTGCAACTGTTGGTGATCAAGATGTCCCAAATCTTGAATTGTGTTTAGTAACATATGAGACACCCAAATACAATTCAAATAAGAGATTGAGGTTAGTTGATGGGAGTCAATCATGTAGTAAGAAATTGTGTTTCAACTTGGAACACACTGCAGCTGTTGGTGATCAAGATGCAGATGTTGAAATTGGTAATGAAGGTGCAAATATTAGTGAGCAAGGTGCAACTGTTGGTGATCAAGATATTAGTGAGCAAGGTGCAACTGTTGGTGATCAAGATATTAGTGAGCAAGGTGCAACTGTTGGTGATCAAGATGCACGTGTTGAAATTGGTAATGAAGGTGCAAATATTAGTGATCAAGGTGCACCTGTTGGTGATCAAGAGACAGAAGTTCATGATCAAGCTGCAAATCTTGGTGACCAAGAAGTAAATACAAGAGAGTTTGATACCTTTGATGGCCAACCATTTCAATTTGAAGACTTTGATCCTTTCTTTGATGCAGATGATGTGCCCACTGCAACTGTTGGTGCAGAACTTGGCACAGGATTAGGTGAAGTTCAATTTGAAAGTGAGGAAGTTTGTGAAGGACTTGGTGAAGGAGGTAGTGAAGGGGTAGTGAAGGGAGTGAGGAAGACAGTGACTTTCTTGAAGATGAAGAAAACTATGTAAGTGATATTGAGGTGGACATGAGTGATTTCTATATGAATGTTGATCTAGATGTTGAATATGTTCCACAGAGGAAAAGGTGTTGAGACTGAAAATGAAGTTGTTGATACAGAAGATGTTGAAGATGTTGAAGTAATTGATAATGATGAATGGGACTCATTAGGTGAAGATAGTGATGATGAAAGAAGGAAAGCAATATTAAAACAGATGGTGAAGGAGAAGAAGTGCTCTCTTGGTGAAGTCCATGCAGTTACTTTTCAAGTGGGTCAAAAGTATAAAAGTAAAAAGGAAATTAAGGACAAAGTCAACAAACTTGCCATTGAGACTAGAAGGAATCTTGGCTTCAAGAAAAACGACAAAACAAGGCTTAGGGTTGTGTGTAAAGGTAATGTACCTAATGTAAATGCAAGTGGGGTAGGTAAGGGCAATAAATTTAATTGTTCTTGGTCAATGCAGACTTCACGGTCAAAAGATAGCGATTATTGGTATGTGAAAACTTTACTGGACAAACATACTTGTGTTCAAACTATAAAACTTAGGGCTTGCACTGCGAAGTATATATCTGCAGAAATCTTAGACATGGTTGAGTCTAACCCTACAGTACCCCTTCGAAGCATTCAAGAGTAAGTTCAGAAGAGGCTACAAGTTGGTGTGTCCATACACAAAGTACAGAGAGCAAAAGCAACAGCTACAAAGCAAGTGAGTGGTGACTACACAAAGCAATACGAGGTGTTAAGAGATTATCTTATGGAACTACAAGCAACTAATGTGGGTACAACTGTGAAGCTTGAGGTTGTTAATGAGCCTAACAGTACTAGAGAAACAAGGCAGTTTAAAAGGGTGTATATTTGCTTAGGGGCATTAAAGAAAGGGTTTAAAGCAGGCTTAAGAGATATTCTGGGACTAGATGGTGCTTTAATGAAAGGACCCTTTCCAGGCCAAGTACTCACAGCAGTTGGATTGGATTCAAACAACGGCATATACCCACTTGCATATGCCATTGTTGAGACTGAAAATATGAGTAGCTGGAAATGGTTTCTAGAATGCTTGGGAGATGACTTAGAGTTGCACTCAAATTCTAACTTTACTTTCATGAGTGATAGACAAAAGGTACTATTTTCTTCTTTTTGTATTACTACTAGTTTATTTGTATATGATTGTTGCAATGATTATGTAGAATGCTTGGGAGATGACTTAGAGTTGCACTCAAATTCTATACAGGGACTCTTACCTGCTATTGCACAACTATACCCACAGGCTGAGCATCGATTCTGTCTAAGACATATTTATGAGAACATGAGGAAAAAATGGAAAACAAAAGAGTATAAAGATCACTTATGGCAGTGTGCAATAGCAACCACAGTACCAGAATTTGAACACTACATGAATGAACTTAACAAGTTTGATAAGGATGCTTTTGAGTGGTTGAAGAAAATCCCCCCTCACCATTGGGCCAGAAGCCACTTTTCAGGTTATATTCCCTAGCTTAGGTGAAGCTTTACTATTCCTCTTTGTGTATGATTTAGTTCATATAATTTTCTTGTTTAATACAGGCAGAGCAGGATCAGATATATTGCTCAACAATTTATGTGAAGTTTTCAACAGTAAGCTTATTCATGGTAGGAATAAGCCCATCATAAGTTGTCTTGAGTACATCAGGCAGTACCTAATGAAGAGGATCTGCAATGTGAAGAAAGTGATGTCCAAAGCTCCAGGTCCACTCACTCCAACAGCATCAAAGTTACTTGAGAGAAATAGGGAAGCTTCAGTCCAATATAGAGCTAGATGGAATGGGACTGCAAAGTATGAAGTTTATGGTCCTTGGCATGACCAGCATGTGGTTGACATGACAAATATGTCATGTACATGTAGAAGGTGGGAATTGAATGGGATTCCATGCAGGCATGCCATAGCTACAATACATGAAATGGCTGATAGTGGAGACAATGTTGGGGAGCTTTACACTTATGTCAACAAAGTGTATTGGCTTCAAACATGGAATGAAGCTTACTCTTACACTGTGGACCCTATAAAGGGTAGAGCCATGTGGCCAAAAAGTACATGTCCATTTCAATTAACACCACCACCACATCACAATCAACCTGGAAGACCTAAGACCAAGAGAAAGAGAAGTGCAGATGAAAAATATGATAAACAGATGCAAAATCATGGTGCAGGTGAACCTGAAAAACTTACCAGAAAGTTTGTTAGTGTCAGGTGTGGGAAATGCAACAATAGGGGTCATAACTCAAGGACGTGCAAGGGTCAAGGTGGGAATGCAGGAAGCAATGAAGGAGGGAATGCAGGAAGCAGTCAAGGAGGGAATACATGATGCAGTCAAGGAGGGAATGGAGGTAGCAGTCAATGCAGGAATTAGTGTATTTTGTTTAAAAACTTATCTTTTGGTTTAGCACAACTTTTGTGCATTTGGATGTAATGGTTTAAAACTAGTTTGTTGTAATGGTTTTATTTTGGTCTTTTAGCCCTTTTGGTCATCAAACTAATGTCAACCTTTTGTCATTGTTGAAGAATGATGTTTATGGTTTATACCAACTGTTGGTTGTCATGTTTATGGAACACATTTATGGTTATTACAACTTTTTTCTGAAACAACAAATAAACATTAACATTAGGTGATAACTGCAATACATTGTCATTATATCCTTGAAAAGGGTACAAAATTCTGAAGTTGTCCAAAATAACCCTAAACTGATATTACATTATCAAATACCAAAAACTACCACATTCCCTTGTTACAATTTCATAAGAACAAAAACCCCAAAATTACATGCAACTACAGGGGTCCCTAATTGCTTATTACTAAATGAAAAGTACCCAAACCACCACAAATAGTAACCAACTTGCAAACAAACACATCTTCAATCTTGCCACTTGATAGTTTACATTGTTGATATTCCTCAATAATCCGGGTATTATCAACATAGATCTTGCACACATGGGAGGATCAATCCATCCTAAGAATCGGCATCTGGAACCCTTCACGTAAAAAAATAAACCCTAAACATGAGGGTGATTTTCCAAAATGAGGGTAAAATAGCAAAATCGAACACTTACCTTTTGAGGGCAGGAAAGAAACCTCCGACCAGGGTTTGCTGATGTCCAGGAGGTGCGAACGACCGCTTCCCTACCACAAAAACACATCACCATTTTAATTTTTGATCTCTAAGAAATTGTGAACACAGAGTAGGAAGACTATGAAGCTCGTGAAGTTGAAGATGGAAGAGTGATGTAGCTCTGCTTTTATTTTGAATAAGGTTGCAAAAAAAGTCCCTGTAAGTGGAAAGACGAAAATACCCCCGTCTTTGTTGCATGTAACGGAGTATATGGACGGAAGTTAGTGGGAGGGACCAAAAACAATGGAAAAATCCAATTTTGGACCAGTGGTGCATCAAAGTATCGTTTTGGACCAAAGTCGCATAATTTTGCCAAACACAGGGACCATTTTTGCAATTTTGCCTTTAATAGCATAGCGATTGAATTAGGGATTTGCATCTAAACATATGGTTCCAGGTGGAAGAATAAATAAAATTATTCAGACAATTAGAGTGTATACAGATCTTTTGCCAATTCTTGTATAGAGAGAGATAGCTTGAATAATACCTTGAAATGATCAACAATGGAGAAGGAGATTTGCTTGAGCGAAGACGAAGATCGCCGCCGTATCGAGGAGTGTCGACTGTCGACTGAGTTCTATTTTCGGCTTTTGGTAGTTTGGGCCGAGCGCCTCCATAAGTGTTTAATCGGGGTTTTTTTCTTCTTCTTCTTCTTCTTTAGGTCCATTGGAATTTGGATTGGTATTATGCACATTCGGGCTAAAATGATTTTATGTCGAATAATTAAAATTTAATACTTATTCACGATAATATAGTTATTTGATATGGAAAAAATAAAAATAAATAACTAGTTGTAATCAAATATGATATAGGCCTATAGGGGATAGCGTTTGATTATTTAAAAAATTCTTATAAATAAAATACTGATGTATAAATTGATTAAAAAAAATACTTTTGGGAAAATAATTTTAAAGGTGTGAAGTGCAAGTTAAAGAAGTCTCTCAAAACTAGCAGGTTAAGAGAACTCGTAAATAAAATACTAATATATGGATAATTTCGTTACAGTTATAAAATTGAAAATTTGATCCGAAAATAAGTAAAATATAGTCAACCAAATAATTAAAATTGATTATTACTACGATGAAATAACAATTACAAAAATATACATCCACATATTCCCTTAAACAATTTCATCTTTGTTATAGTTTTTTAGATCAAGATATTTCAAAATGATAAACATACTTTTTCTGTGAAAACATTGTATTTGATAACATCAGGTCATATGGTATTATTAAGAAATTAAACAACTAATATTGTAAAATATTGAAAGAAAAAGAGCATTTCCATACAATAAAGATTCATATATATTAATATTGATGTATATCATACATTACTATATATTACATATATCATATTTACATAAACAACCACTATGAAATAGATTTATACATAAATATAAACAACTTAAAAGAGTTGCCACAAACACAATACATAATTAATGCTCCAAGTACTTATAGAACCATTCTTCATCCTTACAATAATGGTACATGACATTGTACACCTCCATCAACAGCTTCGGGAACCGACTCCCAAAATAATCATTAAACCCCTCCGGTACACCTCCCAACAATTCCTGTGTCCAATAATCATCAAAACAATCATTAACACAGTACAACCTGTCCTGTCAATAAAAAAAAAGTGATAACGTTCTGTATGTTGAGAAAATCGAACCTGAATTTCTTTGGGTAATTCGCGGTAATGATTTAATTTATTTCGAATGACGCGAAGCAAGTCACGCACACCGTTGTATTTATACCGCCTATACCGACCAATGTTATTGATGAATTCCGGTTCCATCTTTTCATCCCATTTTCCACCCAAAGCCACCGAACCTTTACTTTCCAATTCCCTAAGAAGAACGGAATCACATTCCCGGTCTTCCAATTCCACCCGATCACTAGTATCCCTTAGAAACGACATTCTCACCTCGGAATCCCAAAACAAAGGATGATGCAACACATCCACAGCCCTTGGCCTACAATGCAAATTCTTTATTAATTTAAAACGTCAGAGGACTGAAATTGTAATTTTATAACTTTACCTGAGTTCAGGGTTAGGGTTTAGTAATCTAGAGAAGAGGTCAAAAGCTTCCGGAATATGTCGAACTAAAAAAAGGTTGACTCGGTTTTTGACCACATTCACATCACGTTCAAGATGATCACCAAATGGGTGTCTGCCACATGTCATGCAGAAAAACAGGACACAACCTAAACTGAACAAATCTATCGCACGTGTTTGGCGTCCATGAAGAAGTTGTTCGGGTGCTTGCCACCCTGAACTTCCGGAACCTGACGAAAATAACCCGTAACAATTTACAACGTGTCAAAAACAGCCCGGTTTTTGTAATTAAGTTGGTTTTATCTTCTTACCAGTAGCATGGAGTCCTAATGACAACATGTCGCCAACGAGGCGTCTGCTAATTCCCATGTCAGAAAGCTTCCCACATATTGATTTTTCTTTGACTATTAACACATTGTGTGGCTTTAAATCCCGATGAATGATCCCTAATTCATGCAAATGAACAAGCCCAGATACTATATCCCTATAATAATAATAAACATCAAAGTAAAGATATAAATAAAGTAACACATGTAAATAAAGTACAATGTTGTTGTTATAAATGGTTGGATGTACATGTACCTCATCAATTTTAACAAAATAGGCGAAGGGTATCCATTTGGTTTCCATAAATGAACATCATGCATGATGATGTCACGATTGATTGAATCTAATTCTAAACCCCCTTTCTTCATTTGAATTAAATCATAAAGGCTACAAGCACAACGCTCCAAAGAAAGATAAACAAAATCATGATCATATTCCACTCCATACCACCTAACAATATTTGGATGTTGATCAGAAGCAATAAGATTTTGAATTTCTTTAAATGCAACATCATGGTGGGCCCTCACGAGGCGTTTCACAGCAACCTTACGACCTTCGTATACCCCTTCAAGAACAACTGTTCCATTACTACCCTTTGCAATTTCTTTATTTGACACAAATAGTTTGCCTATAGAACGCCCTTCTGTGTCACATTCGATTAAATGATTAAAATTTAGCACTGGATTTCTTTCACTATCAACATTTCCATCTTCATTGGCATAAATCCTTCCTTGTTTCCTATGCCTCTTCCTTCTAGAAGAAGAGGAAGGTTTTTGTTTCAACATTGCAGCCATTATGGTATGATGGCGATACATAAGACCACCAATGGCAATAATCAGAATGAAAATTACAACAAACGCCATTCGCCCTTCGGAAAGAAAGTTGACTTTTTTCACATCTTGTTGACTAGGGATTTCGGGGTTTTGGGTGTCAAGGTTATTGTTTGAATTGGGTAGTAAAGGTTTATTTTGAGGGAGTAGAAGGATTGGAACTTTTTTTTCTGCTTGTTTTCCATGGATTTTATAAGAACCAAGCTTATGAGATGTACGTAGCCTATGGACAACAGCTTTTGACTGGCATGACAAGGGCATGTTGAAGTCAAAGTCAAAGTCAAAGTCAAAGTCAACACTGGATTTTGAGCGAAGATTATTTGGGAGAGGTAAAGACGGACGAATGATTTTATTTGGAGGTTCTTGACAAAGTAAAGCAACATCAATGTCTGCTACAGTCACATTCCATAGAACTTTGTCAGAATTTGCAGCAAATGATGTGAGTAAGTAATCTGTTCTTGTGAAGGAGAATTGTTTATCAGGTTTTTCATTGACCATAGTTGACTTTTCATTTTTCATGGTGGTTTTTTGGAAGATGAAATTTGAGTGTTCATTGGTTGATGAGCTGTGATGAACACGTATTAACCTTCCAGTGTTAGCATCAACTACAAATGCAGTAGTTTTTTTGGATCCAAGAATAACTCCTCCATCCTCTGATACGTGTGGCATGATTCTGATGAATTCCTCCATGGTCATATCCATACTCTGTAAGTTACAAATAGGTAGTTGAAATTGAATAATAAAGTACATTGTTGATATTGGTAGCAAGAGTAAAGTTTCAGAAATTTACCACTTTGCCAAGATCTGTGTGTGCATACAGCTTCCAATCATCCCCACAGTCTACATAATAACTGCCTTCAGGCACAGGTGCACTTTCCTTATCATCATCATGGCTGGTAGAAGCCTGGTATGAAGAGTAGATTGGAGATCCTGATGCAAATGACCAAATTATCCTCCCAGAATCACGATACACCAAATTGATTGTACCATCCAATGCAGCAACAAGGGCAGTGTCATGATTACTGTTTGGAGAGAGAGGTATGTAAGTGCATGAAAGAGAATTACTTCAAATGATACTACAAAAAAAGTACCCTAATATCATAAATTTGCAAAATTATGTTGAGTGCAGCACTCTGCTTATGTAAGATCATGTTTATCTTGGTTAATTGTGGTAAAATCCTGAACCTTAATTAAAAAAGCCTTTGCACTTGTTAGAATGAAGAGCAAACCCTGTGTAGAGTATGTGAGAGTAAGCAATTATAACATTCATAGTTACAAGTTTATTGCAAAGGAACCATTGTGAATTGCATAGAATTGCCCATTCCAACAAATAAGGGGAAATTGGAGTTATAATAAGTAATATGGGACCAAAATCGAGCCAAGCTGAAGTTGAGAACAAAATTCATGGTAATACTTCAGTTCAACCGAAAGAGCAAAATTTACAGAACCCAAACTACATGGCAGCAGCATGGATCGATATACAGATCTTCACCTTGATAAAGAGGGAAAACAGAATGGCAGCAGGCAGCCATGTGTACATGCATGAGAAGAAACTGTTCATCAACAACCTCAAATTAACGAGTAAAAAAGGAGAAAACTTACTCCGGAAAAGATAACAGAGACCGCCTAGCCGGTGCTTGATTGACTTTCGAGATTTCCAAGTTTTGAACGCTGTCAATCGATCCAAACAACAGCAAAAAGAGCAAGAAATCGGCAAATAAATAGCGGATCAAGGCGTAATTCATCGATTGCGATTGATTCTGATAGCAAACAGGGTTGGATTGATTGTGAATTGAACTCAATTTGCTACCAAATCATAATGATTTAGGGTAAAAATTCAACTTCGTAAGACGACTATGAAGGATATGCAGGGAACGAAGGATTGCCGGAGGAATATTCGAAGGGGTTTCCGGCTGTCCAATTCAAGCATCTCCGAAGCCGTGTTCCTCTCTGGTGTCTTGTTTGTAGTCTCAGTTACAGTCAACCGGAGAAACGATTATACAGAAAAGCAGCACACGTCACCGGAGAAATTTGCGACATAGTTTCATCTCGACCCTCTATCTATTAGTTTGTACACATTTGATCCTCAATATCAAAAAACATATACTTTATCTCCTCCTAAACTTATTCCTAAAATTCCTCTAACTGATAATCGACAAAAACAATATGATGATATAATAATACATTAGATTGTAATAGTTATATCAATTTTTTAGAAGAGTGAATTACTTGATGTTTACTCAACAATTGCTCGATTAAAAAAAAAAAAAAAACTATTTCTTTAGTCCAGAATCTTATTAACATCTCAAAAATAAAGCATGATAGTGTCTATTATTTATGTTACTTTTGTCATAAGATATTCATATCACATATTCAAAATTTTTTATTCAAAAGCACATACGTTTAAATGATTAAAAACACTAAAAATAGAAAAGTGGCGGCATGATTGACTAAATTGACCTTCAAATGTGGTCATATGTGGCTACTAAGTGCACAAGAGCTCACATATGTGGACTAAAATGGTGCTAAACAACTTTTTTAATCAATTAGCTAGATATTGAAAATCGAAATACAAAATCAAACATAACATACAACAAATTAAAAGGTACAAAAATTTCAAGATAAAATCCACATGTAAACAGATGACCAAGTTGTAAGAGCAAAAGCAGCAGCCAAATAAGTCCACATCATCAACATTGCACACTCTTCTTGCCCAACACTAAACAATTCAGCCATTGTACCTACATTTTTCATATAACAAATCCCATAAAACAATAAGTCAAAATAAAGACTATCTTTGACTTTCAAAAGTCAAACACCACTTACATTTTCCTACCAATATAGCCATTTTACTCTATTTGTTACACATTGCTATTATAAGCAAGTAAATGCATTTATGTTGCTAATTTTTAAGTAAATAATTGTAAAGTAAGTTGCTATTTCCTACAAATTTGGGCTTACTGATATTGACGCCAGGTGGCAGAGCAAACATTATCAACAACACGAATCTGAAGAGCGGGTCCACCGGAACCAATCCCATATTAGCCGCCATTTTTATCACACCAATCCCAATAACAGGAAGAATCAAATACCTCACTAACATAACCGTGATAATGATTGTGGGCCCCACGCTCGCCTTTCGTAGACCTATCAACAATTTCATCATATAAAATCCGGGCATATTTTTTTTTCTTCCATTTTAAAGTCTATTATTATTTAAAACTAAAAGTACCTTGTGTGAGGTTGCCTCCTAGTATAAGAGTCAAACAAGGTATGGTTCCAGCTCTATCATATATATACACGACATCATTAAAAAAAATATATCATAAATTTCACAAAATCTTATGTTGTAAAGATTTAATAATGTTAATTATATCATGTGTACCCGAGTAATATCATTGAGTCTTGAATCACCCTTAAAGGAGCTTTTTCGCCAGTTAAAAGATGTTTTATCCATGGGATTGCACCAATAATGAGTCCTGCAAACTAGTTAAATGTAAAAATATTCCGATTTTAACCCACTATTTATAACTACTTACCGATTCACCCTTAGAGTTATGATTTTAACCCACTACTTAGGGTTAACTACCAATTGGTCCTTCAATTTATGTGGGATACAAATTTTACACTTACAGAGCCAAGGGTTGGTGGAGCTAGTAGTTGATTTACTATTTTCTTCAACATTGCTACTAATTTATCTGAAATCGATCCATCTTTCTTCTTTACATTCCCTACTGACGTTTGTTGCACAATCTACAAAAAGATTGTGAACGATAATATTTCTTTTGTTAAGCAATTAAATTGTTATAGGTTTCAAAGGGGGGATACTTACACATTGGTTTTCTATATCTTGACTAGTCAAATTTGATGAAGGCATGATTTGATCAATATGATCATTATTTGTATCGAGTATATGAGTGTTTTGATTTGCATGATTTGACAATTCCTCGGTTTCTTTTATTGCGTTGTACTTCAAAGCTGAGGCTTGCATCATTTGGTATGTACATGTCCATGTGTAGAAGCTACCCCACTGTCCAAAACCATTTTCTTAATCAATATATATTTGTGTACAAGATTCTTGAAAAAAGATCTTTGAAGGGCATTTTAGACATTTGAGTAAAATGGTAAATGCTTACAGCCATGGAGAATGATGCATAAGAGAGAGCCTTAGCCTTACAGATGACATGATCACCGAATGGGCTGCCATTATCTGTGCAGATTGCAGGAACCATTATCACCAGAAGATTTGCATAGTTTCCTATTTTTTTTTTATTTTTCATCATCAAATGAATAAATTAATTAAAAAGAAAAGAAGCATAGAAGGTGAAAATGAATAATTAATAACCAGAATTTACCTGTTGAACACATAGCCATGATGAGGCCTTCTAAATGAGGCTTTGGTTTGATTAGTTTTACTGCTATCCATCCCAATATTCCTCCACATAAAAATGTTATTCCTATATTTATTGGCATAAACCACCTATAAAAAGAAACTAAACCACATTAACAATTTAATATGATATATATACAACTTATAAGTTTAACTTTTATATGTATAAAAGGAAAATAGCAACAATTTACATTGAGATGATGTCTTGAAAGGTGACACTCTCCACAAGGCTTGTAAAAATAAGTGAAGGCGTAAATACCACAAACACAATCTGCAAACATTAAACACAAATTTTTTAATTCCTAAAATTTTTCGAAATGCTTTAGCAATTAGCATGTATGTTTGATGATGAATAAGAGATGAAATTTACCTTGTTAAGTGAGTTTCGAGTGTTGCTGGGAAGTAGGTTGAGGTAATCAGTAGCCATGAAAGCTCCGATTGCACTTATGATCAACACCTGCAATATCGGCATCGATGCCACCCCCAACAGCCCCCAAAATCCCATTCTAATTATTCTCCTTCAGATAGATAGAATTGTTGAAATTAAAAGATCGATCATCGTTGTTCAGGTTCAGTTTATAAGGTGTTTCAATTGTTAAGTTAGTGGTGGTGGCTTTTCCACGAGATAAAGCAAAAATTAGGTTGTGACCAAGTGGGATTACAAAATGGGAAAGCAAAGTACAGATTTTTTTTCTTATGATTTGTTTTGAGGGCTTCCAATCGCTACCAAGTCCGTCACTCTCACAATCTCCGGTCGACTTTTGTGGTGTGTTTCATTACCAATACAACAATAGTCGACTCAATCTCTCGTCGTCAACCCTGTAGCAGCTATCTCTCGTAATAACCCCTGAGCAGCCGCCATTATCTCCCCTATTTTCTGGTAAAATCGAACCCACTTCAGCAGCCAAGATCGATCCCTTTCTAGTAGAATCCGACTCTGCTGTATTCTCTACTCTCAACACCATCCCTGCCAACACATCAGATTGTTTTCAAAATCGAACTTGCAATTACAGAAAGCCTGCTACAGAGTGAACGCCTTTGTAGTGTATATTATGTTGTAAGTTGTCATATGATTTACTATAACTTTTGATATGAAACTTTACTTTTTTACAGGTGAGAAGCATATAGGAAGGAAACTGCAAGAGGGTGAAGAACTATTATATGTGAAGGGCTTAAAACATTAACTGCAACGAGGAAAAAGTGAATGAAATGGAGAGGTACCTTAAATAGAAGGAAAACAAACTTGAAGAGACAAATAGTAAAATTAAATCAAGCATTTTAGCATTAAAGAAGAGGTAAGATGATGCAAAAAAAAATAAAAAAATCAATTACTTTAATTGTAAAAGAGAAGGGACCTATCTTTTCTGTTAACTTTGTTGTTCAAAAGTCAATGATTCACTCTTGCTTTTTTTTCTCTTCAGCACACCAATTAAGCCTATTAAAAAAAACTTCAACTTAAGGGAAAGGAGCTGATCAATTGAGAAGTTAACTGCCAAAGGAAGAGTGATTTTGTATTTAATTTGTGGGTAACTCACAAAAATGACCCCTTCCTTTCTGTTTTCATCATATTTAGTCCAACATCAAAAAAAATTTAGTTTGGTCTTTGAGTAAAGCATTATGTTAATGTTTTGCCAAAAGAAGTTTACTTGGTGCCAATAAGAAAGCCATAAAGTTTAAAAACAAGCTTTTAGAATATTCATAATTGGTTTGCTTAACTTGAGATGTGTTCTTGAAGATTTTCGTATTTTTAGATATTTCTGATAGAGAAGAAAATTAAACCAAAATTTTGACCATCTGAAAATGGACGAAAAATATGTTTGCTTATTAGTTCAATTTGAAGTGGTTTGTATATGTATAGAATAGTTTAATACAAATATGTTATTTTTAATTGTAAGTATTTACTAAAATTACATTTATCTATCAAAACAATTCGATGGAAGACTACCTACCGACAAATCTATAAAATATATTTTGATAGTTCAAAGTAAACCTCTAATTAGAATTGTAGTTGTGTCTACAAATAACATATATAATTGTTAATAACTTAATACCAAGACAAAAAATGAGGTCAAGTAGGAATTGTGCCTCATTCAAGTCAGACACATGAATTGATACACAAAAAAATCATTAGGATGGGTATTCTTAGAGTATTGAACTTATTACTGCGCAACATCCATTAACAAGAAATTTTTAATGAATCACTTACATTCAATTAAGTAAACATCAATTGCCTATTTAAATGCAACAAATATGTATTGACGGTTGCAACATAAAAAAAAAGCTTTTAAAGTTTTAAATCTTTCTAATTTATGCTTAATTTTTTAGCACATGCCGAATGAATAAGTGCGATTAAGATCAATGGGCAACCAATGAACAAGTGCCAAAAGCCTTGAATAAGATTTGTCGGTAGCTATTTTTTTATTCATGTATTATACATTGAAAATACATCCGTTTATAGCATTTGTATATACAGTAAAAGATGTATCAGATTACCCTTCATGGGTCGTGCTTAGCAAGGACCTCAAACTTTTCTAGTGCATATATATATATATATATATATATATATATATATATATATATATATATATATATATATATATATATATATATATATATATGCGAACATGAACACAAATTCTCGTTCATTTAGTTAAATGAACGAACATGAACAATAGTCTCGTTCGTAAACGTTCGTTTAAGTTTTTTTTATGTTCATATATGTTCAATTGTGTTTGTTTATCTTTGTTCATTTATGTCTATTTGTTTATGTTCGTTTAGCATGTTCACGAACGAACATGAACAAGACAACTTGTTAAACGAACGAACATGAACAAGAAAACTCCGTTCGTTTATCCATTCGTATTCGTTCGTTTGTTCGGCTAACTTAAACGAACAAACATGAACAAGCCTTTATTCGTGTCCGTACAAACATGAACAAACATTTGTTCGTGTCCGTTTGGTTCGTTTACAACTCTATATATGAGTGAACTAACAGGTGAAGGGGTGTAGCAAGTGAGTAACAATAAGAGAGTTTGTAATCTTCATTGTTAATAAATATCTAGTTGCAGCCCGTGCATGTAGGATTTACACCGAATCTAAACCACATAAAATCCTTATGTTATCTATTGCTTTTTTTTTCCTGCTTTCGTGTGTGTGATAGTGTTTCTGCTACATTGTACACTGTCCGATTCCTAACATCAATTCCGTTGCAAATGACAATGACAATTGCAAAGTCTAACTAAGTAATACTCTATCAGCATTTGAAATGAGAATCTCACAGAGTCCAACTAAGTAATGTTCTTTCAAGTTTCAACATCTGAAAGTCTTGCAGATTATTACAAACATGATTGTACTATAAACTCAACCTAGGCATAGAAATTAGTAGAAAGATAATAAAGTGTAAATTATAAATAGGTGATGCTGTATTGAAGGAATTATAAATTAATAGAATAATTCACATATTTATTAAAAGATATAAACTAGTTGTTAATGTTATTAAAACCAATTCAAAATATTTTATATTATATTACATTTATACATTAGTATTTACAAAAACTAATAAATAAAAGATGATGGGCGTGTTTGGCATGCAAATTTTGGAAGCTTATAACTTTTAGATTTTAATAAAAAACCTAAAGAAAAAAAAGTTTGGTTCTCTCAATTCCAAAAAATCAACTAGTTTCGGCAATAGGAATTTCTAGCTTTTAGCTAAAACAAAAAAAATTCAAATCCAAAAAATACTTCATGTATCATTTAAAAAAAAAGCTCTTTTATAATTTTTCAAATTGACTTAATTATCCTTTGTAAAATCAATCATGTATTTTATATAAGCCATTTTATGTAATTTTACATGTTTTAAAAAACGTTCATCTACTTTTGCCAAACACTCATGTATAAATAAAAGCTACAACTTCCATCTAGTTTTACAGAACACGCTCTCTGTTGCCTCTTTAGACCATCTTGGTTCAAGCTTTATATTATTTAATTTAAGTACTTACAATGATGATGATGATGTCACTTTGTGTCTTCACGTCATAAATCTTCGATTATACTGTTATTTATATAATTATCGATTATCTATTACTAACAATTAGCAAGACATCGACTAATTGTTTGTAAGTGTGGTTTGTTGTTTAAAAACAATAAGAGTGCTTGGCCTAGCGGTATAACTGTGTTTTTTTGCTAAGTAGGGGTCCCCTTGAGCCTACCCTTTTCTTTTCTTTTTATTATAGGTTAATTTCATATTGACCCGACCAATTGTTGTTAAGTTTTTGCTTAATAGGTCCGTTTATTTTTTGTGTAGTCTAGATGTTTCAATTGTCATAAAGCAACTCGCTCAAATATGAAGGGATTAGCCATTTTCCCCTCTTAGTCGATATTTATTTAGCAATGTTATGTAGATAGACCGACCAATGTATAACACAAGTGTAAGAAAAAAATAAAAAATAAATAAAATTATTTCGTCGTCTCTATAATCATGTTACTTGTAAACCATTTTCATATCGTTTATAACTTATTAATAGTCAAAATCCCTTATTTGTTCATTGTGAAGAGAAATATCAAGAACGATAAAAATTTGTCGAGGTTTTCTTACTCTTTGACCCTTGTGGGCTTTTCGAATCATTTTATGATTTTCTCTCTTCTCATGGTTCTTACTTGAAAATGATTTGTTGATATTCTTTGTAGCATGTTAAATCCTAAATTCATCAAAGTTGATCTTAGCTTTCAAGAAGTTTTTGTTCGCTACTCTTTCAAATATTCAAACGGAATACGCAATGTTGACTGATGTAGACTGTGTTGGTATAAATTTAAATGAATGTGTAACTTTTCTTTGAATTTAAATGAATATGTAACATTTCTCGAACGAGTCACATTGTGTGTAATCTAAAGAATACTATATTATTGTGTATCTAAAGAAAATTTAAAAGATGGTCTTTGTTATATTAATGATTAACTTGACTACAACCTTTTAAGGTACAAAAATTTCAAGATAAAATCCACATGTAAACAGATGACCAAGTTGTAAGAGCAAAAGCAGCAGCCAAATAAGTCCACATCATCAACATTGCACACTCTTCTTGCCCAACACTAAACAATTCAGCCATTGTACCTACATTTTTCATATAACAAATCCCATAAAACAATAAGTCAAAATAAAGACTATCTTTGACTTTCAAAAGTCAAACACCACTCATTATAGCAATGCACTTACACTTTCCTACCAATATGGCCATTTTACTCTATTTGTTACACATTGCTATTATAAGTAAGTAAATACATTTATGTTGCTAATTTTTAAGTAAAAAATTGTAAAGTCTGTTACTATGTCCTACATATTTGGGCTTACTGATATTGACGCCAGGTGGCAGAGCAAACATTATCAACAACACAAATTTGAAGAGCGGGTCCACCGGAACCAATCCCATATTTGCAGCCATTTTTATCACACCAATCCCAATAACAGGAAGAATCAAATACCTCACTATCATAATTGTGATAATGATTGTGGGCCCCACACTCGCCTTTTTTAGACCTATCAACAATTTAATCATTTAAAATCCAACCGTATATAAAAAAAAATCCATTTTTTTAAAGTGTATTATTATTTAAAACTAAAAGTACCTTGTGTGAGGTTGCCTCCTAGTATAAGAGTCAAACAAGGTATGGTTCCATCCCTATATCATATATATGACAACATCATTAACAAAAAAACATCATAAATTTTCACGAAATCTTATGTTGTAAAGATTTAATAATGTTAGTTAATTAATATGTACCCGAGTAATGTCATGGAGTCTTGAATCACACGTAAAGGAGCTTTTTCACCAACTAAAAGATTTTTTATCCATGGGATTGCCCCAATAATTAGTCCTGCAAACTAGTTAAAGGTTATTATTTTTCATATAAGTATACGAATATTACGAATTTAACCCACTACTTATGGTTAATTACCAATTGGTCCTTAAATTTATGTGGGATGGAAATTTTACACTTACAGAGCCAAGGGTAGGTGGAGCTAGTAACTGCTCTACTATTTTCTTTATTATCTCCACTAATTGATCTGAAATTGACCCATCTTTTTTCTTCACAATCTGCAAAAAGATTGTGGATGATAATATTTCTTTTGTTAAACATTTAAATTGTGATAGATTCAAGCTATGTAATGAAGCTTACACATTGGTTTTCTGTATCTTGACTAGTCAAACTTGATGAAGGCATGATTTTATCAATATGATCATTATCTTTATTGAGAAGATGAGTGTTTTGATCTGAATCATTTGAGAATTTATCGGTTTCTTTTATAGCATTGTACTTCAAAGCTGAGGCTTGGATCATCTGATAAGTACATGTCCATGTGTAGAAACTACCTAACTAGATGAAAATTCAAACATACATTATGAGTTTTCTTTGAAGGGCATTTTAGACATTTGACTAGTGATGAATGCTTACAGCCATGGAGAATGATGCATAAGAGAGAGCCTTAGCTTTACAGATGCCATGATCACCGAATGGGCTGCCATCATCCATGCAGATTGCAGGAATCATTATCAATAGAAGATTTGCAAAGTTTCCTAATTTTTCATAAAAATTGGAAGTGAACAGATTAGAAAATAAAAAGGAAAAAAAATGTTCAATGGTGAAGATGAAGATGAAGATGAATAATAATACCCAAATTTTACCTGTTGAACACATAGCTATGATGAGGCCTTGTAAATGAGGCTTTGGTTTGATTAGTTTTATTGCTATCCATCCCAATATTCCTCCACATATGAATGTTATTCCTATGTTTATTGGCATAAACCACCTATAAAAATGATCTAAAGTACATTAACAGGATTATACAACATTTACGAATTAATATCTGTTTAGAAAATAGATGTATAATGCTGTTATTAGAAGGAAAGGAGTAAAGATTTTACATTGAGATGATGTCTTCAAAGGTGACAGTTTCCACAAGGCTTGCAAATATAAGTGAAGGCGTGAAAACCACAAACACAATCTGAAAACATTGAGCAAATTTATAACTAGTGTCCACCTAGAATTCAATTTTAGTTCTACGAAGTTTTTTTGAATGTGGAAACCCTAGAAATTGGGATCCTGGATTGGGTTTAACATGTATGTATGAATTATGATGATAAAATAAGAGATGAAATTTACCTTGTTAAGTGAGTTTCGAGTGTTGCTGGGAAGTAGATTGAGGTAATCAGTAGCCATGAAAGCTCCGACTGCACTTACGATCAACACCTGGAGTATCGGCATCGATGCCACCACCAACAGTCCCCAAAATCCCATTTTGATTGTGAGGGAAAGTAATCAAAATTTGAACTTAACAATTAAAAATTACATATTGTGTGCATAGAGAGCGATAGATGAAAATGGAATAGTGGAAATTAGAAGAGTGAGACTGATGACGTCTCTTAATATCATCAATAATAGGAAGAAGATGATGTATCTTGCCTCTTCATGTCATCGTTGTTCAGATTTTATTTTATTTGAAGAAGGAGAAGAAGAAGAAAAGAATTTGAGTTGTGGGGAATGACTTCTCACAGTATTTTATTGTTTACTATTTGTTAATTGTATTATTGTTTCGTGTTACTGTTTTATTCTGTAATTATGTATAAATAAGTTAATTTTAATTAAGAATCAACCAATTTTTCTTTGGAAATCCCAAAAGGCAAGTGAATATTTTACTATAGAAAAGGATTTTACTATGTTATTTTATTAAAGTAGGTCATTGACCTTTTTATATAAAATAACTAACACTTGTAACTCTATATTGATTTAGATGATATATAATCTAAATAACTGTTCAAATAGCACATGTATACGGTAGTTTAACTATATCAGATGTTGATGAAATACAAATGTGTATATATGTAAACTGTTCAAAAACAATAAAATTGTTGGTGTTGGCAGATCCAACTTAAAATTTTGTTCAATAAGTTAATTAAAAAGTTTTAGTTTTTGGTCTATTTCTTCTGCAATTTTGGTGCATATTGTTTATTGTTATAATGGTTATGGTACATTGAATAAAAATAAAAGTAATGTTGGTATTGTCCCATCCCTATCATACGACAAACATCGAAACTTCACAATTTAATCGTTTAAAATCAAACGAATTCTTTTTTATAATATTAATCTTATCTTTATTCAAGGGAGCTCACATTTTTTTGTTCAATTTTGGTCGATAGTTGTCGACAAAGATGGTTCCCAAATCAATCTCAAATTTAGAAGTTATCTATTTGATAATGAATTACCCAAAATAGAAAAATATAAAAGTTGTTATCTTCAATTTTTGTTTTTCAATTTGATCAACTTAAAAGAGAATAAATCTTATAATATGTTGGTTGGTATATTCTTTGCTACATATTAAACAATTGCAATTCAAAAACTACATAAATTATCTTTTTTGCTTTGAATCTTCAAGAGTTGATGTTTTTTTTTTAAGTCCAACAAAGAATTAGAAGCGTATTTTAATTTGGAACCACAAGCATCCAATAATTGAGCAAAATTTTGAAGAAATTACAAAATAAATTTTAAGATCCTATGAATTGAGTCGACCAAAGCCCAAAAATGATTTTTCAAGTTTCAAGTCAAGATCCACATGAAGACCGTTGACCATCCAGTAAGTGCAAATGTTGCGAAAACGTAAGTCCACATCGTAAGCACCGAACACTCCTCTTGTGCAACATTGAATAATTGTGTCATTGTACCTACATACATACACATGATGCAAGATTTAAATGAAATTTATTCAATGAATTTTTTGTAATTCTCTAATGCATACTTTTCGTATGATGAAAGATTTAAATGCATGTTGCACATTTATTTTTGTTGCACACATAATAATTCAATGAATGTGCAAATATAAAATGTCTAAAAAAATTCGTTGTTGCTTCAAAGAAAGGCTTACTGATATTCATGGCAGGTGGCACAACAAACTGGATCATGAGTACAAAACTAAAAAGAGGATCAGATGGAAGTAATCCCAAAGTGCCAGCACCTTTAACAACTCCAATTGCAATTACAGGAAGAATCAAGTATCGGATCACAATAATTGTGATGATAGTAACATATCTTATGTTTGAATTTCTCAAACCTGTAAAAAATAATCAACAAAGAATTTACAATCCATAAACATATAACTTAGTTTAATTTCTTTCATTTTATTTTTCCGTACCTTGTATCAAATTTCCTCCTAATATAAGTGTGATACAAGGTATTGTTCCATCCCTAGATTATCATAAAAAAAGTTGGTAAGAAGCTATATATACTCAGAATGATGTGACATTAACCCATGAATATAAGATTTAAAAAATTATGAGTTATGAAAAATCATACCCGAGTAACGCGATAGAGTCCTGGATCACTCGTAATGGAGCCTCATCACCAATCAATAGCTTTTTCAACCATGGAACTGCACCGAAAATAAATCCTGCAATCTGATAATAACATGTAATTGATAAAAATAATATTTTAACAATGAAAATATATAACATGAATTGATATACATAAAAATAATTAAAAACTTACAGCACCAATTGTTGGAGGTGCTAATAGCTCTTCCAACATATTTTGTAAAGTTTCTATTAGTCTAGAGGAAGACCCTTGTTTTTTCTCACTGTTGGCAAGATCTTTGTACACCATCTACAAATAAATCGAGTATATATAAGATTTATTTAAGAGTTATTAACAAAAATGATATTATACTTAATAAGTGTTAGGGGTGAGCTTTGGACTGAACCAGACCGGTTTTATAGAAATTAGTGGACCTTGCATCGGACATGTTTAGACCTACCAGATCATGATCTCATTCCTGGTTCTTGGACGTAAAAGTGAGCATTTGGACAGGCTCTTGGACCAAACCTGTTTGCAGAAATTGATGGACCTTGAACTAGTTGAGGTTTACAAGGTCCAAAAGTTCACCCTTAGGAAGTGTATATCGGGCCTTTGAGAAAATTTAATTTCTCAGGAACGGCATATACATATATATATATATATATATATATATATATATATATATATATATATATATATATATATATATATATATATATATATATATATATATATATATATATTGTCTTGAACTTCAAGCCTAATTGACCTACAATTCGAAGAACCCCAACTACATTGCAATGACCAAACGAACTTAAAATATGTCTCCAAACGTGCATGGTTGAAGTTTACATGCAACACATCGATACTTGCGAGGAAAATAGTTTCTCGTGAACAAGTATCGAGCCCTATTAGGTGGGGTCGGTGACTGCTTTATTAATATATCACGCAAAGAACAAAATATAACTGTGAAAGGTCAATGGAATGTTCTTTATACCGAAATCAACATAGTGCGTGAGCCTATTTTTTCTAGGTTGTTGGTCATTTCCTTAAAGTTCATAATGTAATAACTACGAATATGGGAGATCCTAATGTGGTCATTTTTTTGTGGATAACTCTTTCTTTAATATGTTAAACAACAAATAATTAAATATGAAACTCACAGTTGGATTTTCTGGATCAACGTGCGCTTGACCTTCATTTAATAAGAGATGACTTGTTTCGTTTGCATTGAAGTCTTTGTTTATATCCTTGATCAATAAATCCTCCTCCTTTTTCATTTCATTGTACTTCACTGCTGAGTTTCTAATTAATTGGTATGTATATGTCCATATATAGAAACAACCCGCCTACAGAAATTTAAATCCACATCATTTAATTAAATTAAAATGCAATTATCACAAGTAGCAAGTAATTTAAAAAAAAAAAAAAAAAAAAAGACTTACTGCCATGGAAAATGATGTATACGAGAGTCCATTAGCTTTACAAACGTTACCATCTCCAAAAGGACTTCCACTTTGAGTGCAGATTGCCGGAATGATTATTAAAAGGATGTTTCCCAAGTTGCCTAAAAAAATAAATAATTATCAATACGTTATAGTTAACGGACTATTTTTGCCATTTTTGTATAGTTAAGGGAACTTTTTTATCATTACTACTCTAGAGAGTCTTTTTCTTGTTTATACATACTTAAGGTACGACGTTGTCATTTATGCATAAGTAAGTATATAAGGGACTATTGTTGTCTTTTTATGTATAGTTTAGGGACTATTGTTGTCATGTATGCATGTTTGGTAGCTTACCAGTTGAACACATCGCAATGATTAGGCCTTCCATATGTGCTGCTGGTTTAATTAGTTTTACTGCTATCCATCCCAATATTCCTCCACACAAAAATGTTAATCCAATATTTATAGGCATAAACCACCTAAAACAATCGAGAATTACAATATTTATATATAGAAAATTAATTAATTAGCTAATAAATTATTTATGTAACAAAACATGTTACATATACCATGAGATTATGTCTTGAAATGTGACACTTTCGGCAAGACTTGCAAAAACAAGAGATGGTGTGAAAGCCACAAACACAATCTGCATACATTATTAATTTAATTGTTAGGATAAATACGTTATTAATATAATTTTAATGTATGAACTCATGTATCAGACTTTATTTATTAAAAAAAAAATCAATAGAACAAATAAAAAAAATACCTTATTAAGGGAGCGACGAGTGTCGTTGGACAGAAGATTGAAGTGATCTGTAGCCATTAAAGCTCCTATGACGCTCACTATTAAGACTTGAACTATTGGCATTGATGCGACCCCGAAGAGTGTCCAAAAGCCCATTTTTATAAATTTCTTTTTGATGAATTGATTTAATCTTGATATTTGTTATGTGATGAGATGTTGATGTTGTCGTTTGTCTTTTATACGTGTGCGTAAGGGGCTTTATAAATTATAAAACAAAAGAAATACCAGTCTACACTTGGTGTCTATTGATATTATTTTGTTAAAAACAATAGGGATTTAATGGTCTTTTTACATACAAAAGACACGTATTTCTCGTATTTGTACTTCGTGAAACATACATAACACTCCCATAGTTCCACCTTTTTAACCCTTTTTTTTCTGTTTCTTGATTTTCCTGTGAAAATGAATAGTGAAATGATTAGATTTTTGGGGTTGTTTTTAACTAAACGGCGTGAAGGGAGAGTGAAAAAGTGTAATGAACGTGGGAAGGGGATGAGAAAAGTGTGGTATGTGTGTGAAAGGGAGATAATCTTGTCCTTTTTTTCCTAGAGTAAATTACAGTTTTACTCACTCATTATATCTATTTCTTGCAATTTTTGTCTCAAAGTGTTTCCTACTATAGTTTTACACCCAAAAATTTCTGTTTAAGATATCAATATTGGTCAGAAAATTGTGTTCTTGTAAAGTTTTATTTTTTAATATTGCTCATAAGTTTGAAGTTCTTGCAAGCTTGGTCCTTAAGTATAACTGAGTTTTCAATCTTGGCCCCTTAGATGTAGTTATTTTACTCGGATGGAGGATAAAACCTTTCATAAAATAACAAATAAGGACTAAATTTGCAAGTGAAAACTTTGATACTTATAACTGAAAAAATTAAATATACCCACGAACCAACCAAAAATAAAGTTTACAACGTTTCCTATTTAAATTAGAACCATTTCTTATAAAAATACAACTTATGGTACATATAAATAATCTTATAAAAAGACAACTTATGGTACATACAAGGGAAAATGACTTTTTTTCCATGCAATAAACTAATATTTTTGTATATACTTTTTTACTTTTTTTATACATAATTTATCATTAAATTCATCTGAATTTTTCAAAACTACAATTTTTCCCACATATTATAGGTTAACATATTTTCTGTATATAATTTGTCATTAAACTTTTTTATATATGATTTACCATTAAGTTATATCTCAATCATCTTCTTCGACCAACATCATCCACTTTTCCACGTTTCACGGCCAACATCCACTTCCAATAAATTTTACAAATCTAATTTACTTTGTATTTTATGGTATTAAAAATAATAGACACGTTTAGATTGAAATAAAAATATTTTCTAGTGCGACACAAAACAAAATGCTAAGCAAAGCATACTATTTTGGTTGGCCGTGTAAAATATAATGTATATATCAAGATCTAAATATTATTATAAAAATCATTCCATATTTCTAATGTACCTCAAAACGACAAGTTTATATTATAACAAAATAACAAATGAAGTACAGCTTGCTGTTTTTGTGGTCCATAAAAAAGAATAAATATATTAGAGGTAACGACAACAAAAACATAGTACTAAAAAAAAATAGAACTATACCCCTTTAATTAATTACCTCTCACATAACTTTGATATTTTGTTCCAATCTTTTTATTCTTTTTTTATTTGTTATTGCTGTTGTAGTTCATAGTTGTGTTATTTATGACTTAGAAATTAAAACTTTTTGCATTGTAGTTTTTTACAAGAATTTTAAACTCAACATAATAAATTAAATTCATTTTTCTCAAATTTCATGTTTTCATTGAATATAACACATGTTATTTTTTTAAAATTTTTAGAATTTTTTTTTCCACTTGCATGTTCTTGTGTTTTCCATTTACTTAAATTTAAAATTCATATTTTCTAAGGTTTATATATGTAAAATAGATCATTCTTTAAAACACGTCATTAATTTTTATTATATATATATATATATATATATATATATATATATATATATATATATATATATATATATATATATATATTGAATTACTTACTTTATTCATTCCATCTTTTGTATTTATATAAAAATATTATTTTAAAAATTACAAAATGCTTACAACTTTATATTAAATTTATATTTTTAATAAATCCGTATATAGATCTCATATATAATCTAAAAACATAGCAACTTATATTTACTACATATGATAACATCTAAGCTATATCGTATTGCATAGAGTATGTATATGTCTATTCTCAAATTTCAAACCTTTTCTAGTGGTTTTTTTTTTTTTTTTTTGGGGGGGGGGGGGGGGGGGGGGGG